CTCATTCTCCTCCTCACATTTCCTCCTCCTCAGAGTTACAGTCCCTGTACGATGGTGTGCAAAAACCCGGTCAAATTGCCTTCTGAACAATATGGCGAATTTAACCAGTGGAAAATGATAAAACAAACATGAAACGAAGAAAAAAAAAACTCAATACAAACTCGAAACAAAAAATACCGCCAGCATACCGATATCAAATCAATGTTTTTTCTCTCTTTCACTCTGACTGACTGCAAAGGAAATTTGTGCAAAAATAAACTTTCGATAACCGAATTGCGAACTTCGTAGTCAATTATTCATGTTCAACTTCAATTGAACGATGTGTTTTTCTCTCTCTTTCGTTTCGGTTTGGTTTCAGTTCGCTATTAATTATTACAGCGACTTGTTATATCGCTTGTTATCAGCATCATTTTGCAGCACGTTGAGCGGCTTCTGTTTATAATCGATGAAATTAATGAATTTATGACAATGATACGAAACTACATTTAGCTTGGGCTGTGCCGTGCTCGCACACATTTGATACGAACAATGAATGTGTATGTGTAAAGTGGCATTTACGAAAATAGCGCGGCGCGGCGCGAATCGAACATTTTTGTCAAAACCAAAAAAAAAAAACCATGTTGTGAACAAACGACACGATATTTCGTCGATATGAATGCGAACAACAACAGCAATAGCAACAAATGCAACCAGAACTAACTGATAATGCATGCAATGAAACAGTGAATGCAGTCTTGGTTTGGTAGTCGTGTGTGTGTGTGTGTGTGTGTGTGTGTACTTGCTTCCAAATTGAGATCAAATTGATTACATTTTCGTATCTTTACGCTTCGTGCACCGCATTCTTGGTGGCTTTCTTATTGTCATGTGCATCATGGTGTACTATGTGTGTTCGAGTGAGCTCATTTTCTCTTGTGCACATCACACAGAAAATGTGAAAACAATTGAATTGTCTTGTAACATTGCACCGAGATGAAAGTGAGAAAAGAGCATCTACTTCCACCATCGCATATAGATTGCAGACGAAAGAAATACATTGGCTGTTGCGAGCAGGCTATCACAAGTATGATTGTGAGTTTGTTTAAATGCGCTAGGTGATTCACACACACACACACACACACACACACACACACACACACACAAAAACACATATGCTCACACAACCATCGAGATCAATCATGTGTGGAAAACACATTATCTTTTGAGGGAGAGAGAACGAGCGAGCGAGCGAGCGAGAGCGACAGAGATAGGGAGCTATATTGGCACCAGTTGCTGTAGCTATAGCTGTATGAAAGCATCGTGATAAAGGCCAAAAAGTGGTTGTTTATTTTAAATGGAAATTTCGCTGTGTATCACCTCAAACCCCATGCCGTGTTCACCGTGTTCTAAAACTAATTTATGTTATAAAAATGAAAATGATCAAAGAAAAAGAATATGAAAACATTTCATCGCACTAAAAAAAAAAACTCCCTAGCACACATACACACACGCACACACATGCACACGCACCCATACTCACTAAAATCTGGTACTCAATTTTAACGGTCGATTTATTGCTTAGCAAAAGCTAAATCTATCGGAATATGCATGACAAATGGAGGAAACAATAGCCTGTGCGGTTTTTTTGTCGAATAGTAGTAATAAATAATAATTGTTGCTCTTTTAATGGCAACAGAGACGAGAGCGTAACGTATTGAAAACGTACGCATTCATCGAATTGTACACTTGATATATACACACACTCGATGGAATGGGCGGTCATATGCATTATTCTTCACATGGATTTTGTGCCAATTGTTGTTGTTTTTTGTCTTTTGCAGTAAAATTAGCATGTATATACGCACATCCTCACACACTAGCAACATTCATTTAATTGATAATATTTCGAAATTGTCGTCCGAATTTCAATGTTCGCATATTTTCTTTTTTGTTTAAGTGGATTTTTCGATAGGAGACTGATAGTTGATACACGCACACATGAATTGTCAATGTGTGTCCGATAGTAAAATAGCAGGCCCAAGAGAATCAACTACGAGAGAGTAAAAAAACACACACACACAAAGCCAAATAACAACTCTGGCAAAGAGGAAAACAAGATAAAAAAAAAGAACAAATGAACGACAGGCAGAGCAGCGTCTTTGAGTCATCGCAAAAGTCACACAATTATATATAAATGTATATATATATATACGGAATTTGTATTGAAGACTGTTTGCTATCCTTTCATGCGTTTTTTTTTAATGATATGCCATTGTCGTCGATGCATTTTAATGGTCGATGCATATTCAATTTCGAATCATTTATCTTTGTTTCCTTTGGTTCAACAGTGATTTATTCGAATAGTATCGAATTTTTCGTATAAACACATACACACACTCACACGCAGATAATTGAACCCATGAGTACAGTATTCAAGAACAAAATGCCGTGTGCAACAATTTTTTTTTCTTTCTGTGTCCCTTAACTCTCTTAAAAAGCCAAAAATGGTTTACATTTCGGTATTTTCTTAACAATTATTGTAGACACTTGCATGCACACACAATTCATGTGTGGAACGAACCAAAGTTTTTCAATTTTATTCACTCGTACGAATCAAACACTCACAAATACAATCGCCCAACAAACAAATGAGAGAAGAAAAAAATATTCCTCTAAAATAAAGGACAATTTCACAAATGGAACCAAAACCATTTTTTTTTAATAATGCAAAATTACTTGATGTTTCATTCTCTTTTTTCATGTATATATCTCACTTAGCATTTTACTCACTTTGGGCTGGTTATGTCGCCTTGCTACACATACACTGTTAAACCGAAAAAAAAAAACAAAAAAAAGGAAAGAAAAAAACGAAGAAATTTTTTTCCGACAACTTGGTTCTCAACACGGGATCGAAAATTCGTGTTTTGCCCCGTTTCGATTTCGACGAACTGTTTTCGAATCGATTCACAACTATTTAACAAATTTTATTTTCGTTCTCTTGCACTTTCAACAAATCGAGAGAAAAAAAAATGTAAATTTTTTTCCGCACTTGGTCTTCTGGAACACACACAACTTTTTTTTATTACTGATTTTTCTTTTTTTCGAAACAATATCTTTTTGAGAGAGAGAGAATACTATGTATACGCTGGCTCGGTCGACATTGCTGTTGCTGCTGCTACTACTATTGCTGTTGTGTGTTGCCACTGTGTGTGTGTCTGTGTTGGTTGTGATCAACGTTTATGTGTGTGCGTGCTTTCGGTCGATGTAAACCGTAAATACGAACACGTATATGAACAATTCGTATGCTGACTCACTGCACACAAACCATCTTGTTGAGGCATCAATGAACGCTATGAGCAATCGACTCGAGTATGCCTTCCGTCTATCCTTCTCTATCGCATTTCGTTTGTCTTGCTCTGTCCTTCTAAGCGACAACATTGACGAATAAAATTCTCACACAAACACATGCACATACACACACGGGCACAGCCACAGCCACAGTGTTACAGCAAGCACAACGCGCGCGCAATACATGCATATTAGCCCAGCTACAGCCGTGATCAGCATTCGTGCGCGCCTTCATATTCATCACTTTGAAATCGCTGAGCACCCAGGGCTGTCTCTTTCTTCCTCTGTGTGTTCCTATCTCGGTCGGTGTGTACGTGTGTGCAAGTATGTTGAGTAATTTCGCTATCAACGTCATTTGAATGTTGCCACAACGATTTAATAAACCTGTTTGTTGGTAGTCAAGTCAGGCAAGCAACGATACGCGGTGAAACCGCAAAACATTTCATTTTCACGCCTTGCGCTTCGATTGTGTGCGTGCGTGTGTATTCGTATGCAACCGTGTATGAGTCACACACCGAGCGAGTTCACCATTTGTTTGTATGCATGATATCTACATTGAGTTTGGTCATGACTTTGATTTCCAAACGCCATTTTCGACATCTTGAACAGCGGCAATACATTTTGCTGGTGTTGCCTTTGTTGTCTTTTTTCATAAATGGATGTAATTTTTGTTTCGTGTCAAATTTTTTATAGTGCCTTTTTTAAATTTTTTATAGACTTTTGTACGCTAGCTCTTTAATTGTAAATAATTCAATTGAATTTTCATACATTTAATATAAATCAACCTTGGAATTCAACCATTTAGACATTTTCTACCAATCGTACATACATTCAATTCGTAACTTTTTTTTAACATACATCATCACATCGGGTACATCGAAAATTTCTCCTGTCAACGTGACATTAGTGTCTTGAAATTTCAACAGAATTGTCACAGTGAAAATATTTTGTGTATTAGAAAAAGAGTACATATATTTTGTGCATAATTATAAACAATGGAAGAGGAAAATTCCACTGGAGGCGGTGGTAGTGGTCACACGGAAACACCCACAACTTCAAGATCGTCCGGAACAAACAAGCGTAAATGGAAATCGATTCCCACATTCGGATGCGATTCCCAAGATTCTTCGCCAACCACAACATCGATGGATAAATTATTTTGTGGTATTGCAAATTTTGGTTTAACGGTGAATCGTTCACCATTGAAAGCAGCTAAAAGGTATGTTAAATGAAAAGAAATTATTGTTTTTGCTTCAATTTGTTTCCAAATATTTAATATCTTTAAGGCGTGCACAGGGAAAACAAGAAGAATTTAAAAAATGCCGGCGTTTGCTAATGACGGCCGATTTTACCATATTAACATTGAATGAAGTTCGGTATGTGGCAAAAAACTTGAATTTCTTATGACCGAATATAATAAATATTGAATTTTTCCTTCAGTGATATGATTAAACTTACGTTGGGCAAAAATTTCAACTCAACTGATCAACAAAAGGGCTCTAGTTCCGAATCGCTCAAAATGACTCCAATAAAATTGCAAATTCCGAAAGATGCAGAGACATCGCCTAGTACCACAGCCATATATGATCTCCATTTTAGTGCTGCGAAATTTTCAGCGTTCGCTAGAAGCGAAGTTACGTTTTTCAAGTGCGATATTGACTCAAATCAACCGCTCAAGCCACACCAAACGGAAAAACTGGATCGAATGTTATACTGTAGCACAAAAGGCTTGAAAGATGTAAAAGGATATCGGTATGCAATGATATGAATGTTTTAAAAATGCCATAATTACATATTTTCAAAATGGTTTTCTAGCGATGATATTATGGATCAAATTAAAAAGATCGATCCACAATATGAACCAGAAGCAATACCAGTGAAGACATACATCAATGGTATTGCCGTAACGAAAACTGAAGAAGAATACCTTAAAATTCTTCGAAATGGTGATATAACGACGCTAAGCCCTGAAAGTCAACAAGACATCACATTGACAAATGCTTCTACTATCCATGGTAATATATGCACTCTTCTTGCATTTAATAATTATTCGAACTCGAAAGCCAATTGGAATTTTCTGAATTGTTTTCTTTCACATCCGTATCTGAATATGGTGCAAGTACAGCGCTTACCGACCACACAAATCCAAATCCGACCATGTATCAGCCGTCGAATGTTACGCCACAAGCTTCCAGCTCTTTAAGTCACACCAATACCCACCCTTCAAACAGTGGTCGCATTAACCCGTTCCGCAGTATGGACCTGAACGAAAAATTCAATCTTGTTAATAGTATCATTCCTAGGTAAAATATCATTTCGGTTGTTGTTTTTTCTTTCGCTCTTCTTTCGTCTTTTTGTTTCACACTAATTTTTGGTTCGTTCAATTCAATGCATACAGCTCGGATGACCCCGGATATTCATCAAAGTCATAGCCAGACGTCATCTATGTATCCAACACGAGCGAGTTCTCATTAAAATAAGCAGTGTGTATGGAAGTAGTAATGAAAACAACAATAGTTCTCAGGGTAGGTCAAGTGCAAATCTGCAAAGGGCATCAGTTTATACAATGACAAAATCAACACCACAAAAAAAGACAAATGAAAAAAGAAAAATAGTTTGATAATTTCCTTTTTTTAGTTTTAGTTTTATGTGTTCAAATATGCTCGTTCGACTGTAGTTAGGTTTGCGTCACTATTTATAGAATTCGTTATGGACAAATGACTTAACCGGCATTGTCAAATGCATTTGTCGACTTCCTGGTCAAAACAACACAGTTTCAAGTAGAAAGTATTAATTTAAATGTAAACACAATGACAATAAAATTTGCAGCAGAAAAATTTTAGCGTGAATAAAGTAAACATGTGTTGAGAAATATTTTGTGGTGTTTATTTATTCGGTTGAAGATCAAAGAGTCACAGTTCTGAATCTTGGTTTAACAAAAAAGAAAAGAATTAATAGGAAAAGCCCCGTCGGAGGCTTGCATCGTGTTCAGCGTGTTGAGCCAATTGGTAAACTTTTCTTTGCTCTCAAATCTAGATGGAATCAATGATAAACGATTCATTGTATCGACCAAGCCTCCCAAATCCGGATGTAGCTCATCCATGGCTTTGATTTTCAGACGCAATTTATGCACCAGTGTAATAAATTGTGAAACAATATCGGCAATACAAAGGCGTCCACTGCCTGTGTGGAAAAAAAAATCAATTGAATATCAATGGTTTGTTTTTTCAGACATTCCGTTTGTCTGCATATTTAGCTGAGCTATTTTCAAACAGCTGGCTGTTTGGTACATTTGGATTTTGTGACGTAAAGTCCATCCAAATTTATGATGGATACCATGATTTTTCTGACTTTGTGACATGGGATCCATACAAATTCATGGATTCCATCATGAATTTGGATGGACTACACGTCACAAAATCCAAATGTACCAAACAGCCAGCTATTTGAAAATAGCTCAGCTAAATATGCAGCCAAACGGAATGTCTGGTTTTTTTTTCAATTCATTCATTGCTACCAATTTCGAAAGAAACGTAAGTACTTACATTTTCCACCAACCTCTTTCCTTATACTTAGATCATTGCATCGGGTACACCGAAAATTCCCATTGTCAAAAAACTCGTCCGTCATGAGACGCCTTGTAAACAAATGTACTTACGCGAGTTGTTTTGTGTATTAGGAAGAAAAGTAAATATTTATTGTGCATAATTATAAACAATGGATCCATCAAACACGACTGATTCCGATAGTGGTTTATCGGGAGCATCCGCATCTTCCGAGCCAACCTCAAAGCGTCCAAAGTTGTCAACCGATGACGATTCGCCTATCTCAAAGGCATACTCTGATTTAGCTAAGAAAATTTCCGATTTCTCTGAAGAAGTCTTGAAGGCGATTCAACCGTGAGTTGCATGAAAAATCAATTCGATTCTACATATCTGATATATTTGATACTTTTTAGGTCTGAAGATGCACCAAATTTAGAAAAATTGAATCGCTTCTTATTCTCGGCCGATTTTTCTATTAAAAAATTGCAAGAAATTCGGTATGATTGATGGTATCAACATTTTGAAGATGCAAAATGTCAAATTGTTTCTATTTTGATTTTCTTTTCAGTCATTCGATCAAGTTAGTGGGAAAAGACTGTGCTGGATCGGCTGAAAATCATTCGGAAACGCATGAAAATCAATCGACTAAATCAAAAATATGTACACAAACATCGTCTAGTGCTGATGCCATAACGGACCTTTATATTAGCGTTGGAACATTTCTGGGTGTCGCACTAAATGAAGTGATGTATGTCGCACAAAATCGTTCAATTAAATTCAATTTTCTTAAAAATACATATTTCTTTCAGTGGTTGTACTTACAAGACACACAGTGAAAGTCAATTGGATAATAAATCGCCGAAAGTAAAAAAACGTACACAATTGTCGTCCAGTGCCGCTGCCATAGCCGCTCTTAACTTGAGCATTGGACAATTTTTTGGTGCTGCAATGAGCGAAATCAAGTATGTCGTACAAGATCGCACTCAATTCAATTCAATTGCACCAAAAATATTTATTTCTTTCAGTCTTTGTACAAATGCACGCGGTGAACCAAGTAATCCGGCAAAAAGCGAGAAATTGAAACGTTTGTCAAACTGGACTGATCTCTTTTTGCAAGATGTGAAATCTAAACGGTAAGTCATGGCATAGAAATCTGAATAGTTCCATTATTACACACCATTTCTACATTCTAGCGAAAAGATAATGAAAAAAATCGACCCAAATTACGAACCAAATACAGAGCTATCGGACGAAGAAATGAAGCTGATTCTAATGATGCGTTCTAACCCAAAGTTTGCAGTAGCTGTGGAACAATATGTCAAAGATAATCCGAATGGAAATCCATCCATCCATCCAAAGGGAAATGAAGAACCATGATAAGCATTCGCTATTCCGCTTTTAATGCTGATTCATGAAAAATGGCCGATTTTCAACGTGGCTGTTTGTACTATTTTTATTCTCCTCGGTTATGTTTCTGACAATAAAATTTGAGATAATCTATTTTAGCAGAAATATTTTCGTGTTTGTTCATTTGGTAGATAAAAGAGTTACAGTTCTAAATCGCGGCTTAAAGGTACTATTTCCTAGGACTGCGTTGCATTCAGTGTGTTGATCCAGTTGGTAACCTTTTCCTTGCCTTCAAATCCAGACGAAATCAATGATAAGCGATTCATTCGATTGTCGACCAAGTCACGCAATTCCGGATGCAATTCGTCCATGGCTTTGATTTCCAAACGCAATTTATCCATCAGCGTAATAAACAGCGACACAATATCGGCAATGCATTTGCTGGGTATTGCTTTTGTCGTCTTTGATCCTTATCGGGTGATCTTCCGTGATGCGCTCCAATGCGGCCGTACAGTCCAGCCGGAACTTCTTCATAAAGGCGTCCACTATCCGTGTTAGAAAATTGAATATCAGGCTTGTTTCTTATCCATTCTTCATTTTCCAAAATAATAATAATTTTAATTATCCATTGCTACCGATTTTGAAAGCAACGTAAGTACTTACTGGGTATCCGTCGCGCTGTACTGGTTTAACGGCCATTTTATACTGCACCATTAGCTTTGCACATGATGCGGTGTACTCTTGTGGGGTGATGCAATCCCAAATGTAGGCTTTTTCCAGGTTTTGCTGTGCAATGCGTACAATTCAGCTGCGTTATCATACTTTTCACGTTCCCGTGCATTTCGATACAATTTCACCTCTTCATACAATTCGGGATGGTTTTCTTCTATTTTTGTATTGCATTCTTTAATTACCAAAATTATACGAAACACTGAAGTGTAACAGAAATGACTTAGAATCGATTTGGAATTGGAATTGACGAACAATAATGTCTGAGTATGTCTGGATTTTTCCATTACTATCAAATCTAGTAGATATGCAAAAACAAAACAAAGCTTAAAAGTACAAGAATCCATGGTTGATGATTACGTAAGAGGATGTTGTCTAATGACGCCGACGATGTTATGGTCATGATCAACAAAGTCTACATCAGCGGCCAATTTGAGATTTCCCCTCCTCCCCAATTTGAATAGTGTGTCAGGAAATGAAGTTAATTTGCACATAGGCGCGCTTATTATGAGTCGTTAATTAAATAATCGGCCAACAAATATATCAAAATGATAATAATTTGTTGTGATGATGGTTCCGTTATGGCTGTACAATATGTAACATCTCCTCATGCAAAGAGTTGAACCCATTCTTGATGTATATTCAAATCTTTCAAAAGAGTTGAAACACTTCCAAATGAAATTTCCGTGACAGACTGAAACATTTGGCACATGCAATTTTTATCGCTATAAATATGGAACCAAGTGCATTGACCGTTTGGCAAGCAAACGGTGCTAAGTTCCACGTTTTATGTTTGAATCTGAAAAAATATTTTATTTAACTCTCAAATCAATCTGTAATACATTCAATTATCCAATCTACCAGTCACTCAACCGGTTAATCCGGTATTAGACTGTGAATTTAATGCCGCAACAGCTGCACGCTGAATAAATGGCTCAAACGCACTTGAGCGACAATGAAAGTGAACGCAATCGGTTGCATTGATGTCTTGCACAAAATGTATTCATTCAAGATGTGCTGCTGCACATGAAATATGGAAGAAATGCAAACAGAAGCGGAAATCTCGTGTGCAAAATGCGTTCCAAGCAGCCGACTAGCCCGAGTAAAACTGTGTGGCGAATCTGTTACTAGTGATCTAGTCCATTCCGACGAGCTTAGAGAAACTGTACTTGCCGTTAGTTCAAGCCCGAAACGAAAGTGAAAAAAAAAAACAAATGCGGAAAGTGATATGATAGCTTTAGCGGGCCAAAATTGTCCGTATGCTAAGTGCACCGAATCGCAACATGAGATATTTTAATCACATGAAATTATAAACGGTAACTATGTTTTGTTGACTCGACCAACATTCGACCACAATGCGTTTTTTCTTCTTCTCTCTCTTTCTATATAAATGTCCGTATAATGTTTCAATATAAAATCTGTTTGTTCGCTGTCTATCTCTGAGCCGATTAATTAACTTCGTGTATTCATAGTTCATTCTTGAAACAAACAGGTAGTTTAGAGCCTCCACCAATCTCGATTTTTATTTGAAACGCACATTTTTATTCAACCAGCAAACATTGAATTTGTTTTTGCACGCATTGTCTTTTATCACCTGTAAATGGTTGGATCAGCTTGGTTTATGCTGACGGGTTGTAGTGAAACAGCCCCGAGAACATATATTACAGTCTGCTTGTTGAGTTTTCGGTTTAGTTTGAATTGGTTTTTGAAAAATGCACATGCGTCCGGCTCCAACATTACACAAGTTTGTAAAGTATTAAAATAGATAAGCATTAGCTGCATTGTCGAATAATATCGCACGCATATCGTACGAAAAAAAAAGTACAAAGTGAATTTGAATTAATTGATTAAGTAAAAACTTTAAACTTTTCATTGTGATGCTATAAAATCAAAAACAAAAGCAAGGTCAACTATCGTCATTGTTTAAGCTATAAATCGGTAATAAACAAACATCGTTTCATGATACAAAGTGCTTCTCGTTTTTTTCTGTTTTTCATGGTACAACCTGTGGACATTGATTGAAGAAATTGTTTACGATCAATTAAATTTTACCTCGTTGTTGCGTACATTTGTTTTTTGCTTTGCAACGGCCAGTGTATTCAAGTGTAAATATGTATATTGATGTTCTAAAAAACACTTGATAGTGCATTATTATAATAACTAAATTCCACACAGGTGTGTGTGTGTGTTTGCCGGTGTGTTGATTCAACCTTGGACGAGATTCCATAACCGTAGTTTAGTTTCGTTAAAATCTACACTGATATTAGATAAGAAAAAAAATGCAATTAAAGAAAAGACAGCTTTTTGTTATTGCGTTGAGCGCATTATGTTTGATTTGCAATGCGGTTTCACCGTTCAAAAATCGTGGCAATGGAATTAGCAGTGGTGTTATGATGAATACGGCAAATCCACCGCCGAATTCATTTACACCGATTTTAAGCAGCCATGGTCATGGTGGCATTCGGCCACAAAATTTCATTTTCGGTGATAAATATGGCGAAAAATTCCAAACACAGTATCAAACGCCAGTTCCGAGCTATGCACCGCCGCATAATTTCCACAATAAATTTAGTCATTTTGGGCCGCAGCAACATCAAAATCATAAACCGCGCCAATTTCGAAATCCATTTGATGTCATTTTTGAATGGCGTCAACTAGACTTTGAATATCCAACATTTTTGGATCGTCAACGTGCGATTTTGAATGGTGATTTTATTCCCATAAACAATGTACCGCTTGGTGTGGATCGATGGCGTAATCGATTGTTTGTAACGATGCCTCGTTGGAAAAATGGTATTCCAGCTTCGTTGGCTTCGTTGTTGTTGCCTGCTTTGGATCGATCGCCACCGATGCGACCATATCCCAGCTGGGAATGGCATGCAAATCCAGAAGCAATCCAGCCGGATTGTACGAGACTGATGTCGGTTTATCGTATCTGGGTCGATGAATGCGATCGTTTGTGGGTACTCGATTCAGGCATCGTTAATGCAACAATCCAAATCAATCCAGTTTGTCCACCGAAAATTCTCGTTTTCGATTTGCGCACCGACCAACCGATTTTCTCATACGAATTCCCACCAGATCAAGTGAAGGAGGATTCATTGAATTCAAATTTAGTCGTTGATGTTCGCAATGGTCGTTGTAACGATGCATATGCATACATCACTGATGTGTGGCGCTTTGGAATCACCGTATTTAGCTTGGCAAAGGTAATAATGTAATTTTAATTGCGATCAACTTCATTTCCATGTGTTTTTTTCTCTTGATTTTGTCATTCATAGGGAAGAAGCTGGAGAACACAACATCATTTCTTCTATCCCAATCCAGAAGCATGCGATTATACGCTGAATGGCCTGAATTTCCAATGGACGGACGGTGTGTTTGGAATGAGCTTATCTCCGGTCAACGATCCACCCGATCGTCTACTCTTCTTCCATCCTATGTCCAGTTTTTCGGTAAGAAAATCAAACTCAAAATGAAAAACATAGTTTGAATATTTCCTCCGTCAATCAGGAATTCATCGTGAGCACAAGTGTGCTACGCAATGAATCAGCTTGGACCTTAAATTCTGGTGGACAGGCTAGTTCATTTATACAAATTGGGACTCGAGGCAATCGTGGACAATCATCAACATCGGCCATCGACCGAAATAACGTGCAATTCTATACGCTTGTACAGCAGAACGCCGTCGGCTGTTGGAATACCGATCAGCCGTATTTTCCGAATTCCATCGATATCATTGCACAAGACAATACCACGCTTGTTTTTCCAAACGATCTGAAAGTGGACCAAGAACTTGATCAGGTACACCAATCAATCAATCACATTAAGTATTAAGGACAATATTGAGTTTAAATCATTATTCTACCCCTTCCATTTCTGTAATTATCTGTAGGGAGTGTGGGTTTTGAGCAATCGATTGCCGGTATATTTGTATTCACAGCTCGACTTCACTGACATCAATTTTCGAATTCAGCGAGCCAGTACACGCGATGCAATTCTTGGATCTGCATGCGATCAAAACTCACTGAAGCAACCGTTGCATACGCTAGCGACTCTTTGAATCGGAGTTTTTCATTAGATTAATTTTGAAATGATCTGTTCACTTTGCTTGCCGCATAAATATTTCAAATATTTATGATTACTGTATTCGAAATACAAATCATTGATAGAAAAAAAGCTTTCGAACCAAATCATTGATGTTCAATTAGAACATCCAAATCGAACAAGATATTTTGGCCAAATAAAAATGGGTTTCTGCGAATATTCTGATGTCAGGCTATATTTGTCGAGTATTCTAGAGAATTACCATTTCTTACCTGCCTCCGATAATGGCCCTTTTTTGGTTAAATGGAAATTACAAAAACCTTTTAGTTTTGAATTTAAATTCAAAAATTATATATTTTCGAAAGTGTTTACAATAGATTTTGTTTGCTTTTTTTGCTTTTTAAAATTGTATAATTTAAATTCTAAACTCTAATAATCCAATTGCTTCAATTGGTTGTAACCGTTTTTTTTTTTTGTAACCATTGTGTTTTATTTTGTTTTGTTTTTGTTAATTAAAATATTACTCCGCTAAATTTGAAACATGTCAACAAATAAATAAATTACTAAGTCAAACAAATTTTCAACTTTTTTGTTGTTGTATTTACAAAATGAAATAAAATTTACCTATCTTGATTTGAGCCAATGAAATGAGTCAGTGAAATTTTTCAATTGATCCAAGTATATTCATGAATCTTTTTACTAAACTTTGGGTGTGCCCATCTAAACAAAGTGCTCGGAATGAATTGCTTGTTGCAACAGACACTTTCTAATGGTGATAGAATTTGATTTTGGAATAAAACGCCCCATAATAAGTGTAGGGTGTGTGTGTGTATTGGGTGCATTATTACATCTAATGCGGTCATGATTTGATTCGATTTTGCTTTTTGTGACATTCATTTTATTTTCAGCCAAAAATCCGCCTCGCAAACATCTTATTGCAATTCCATTTATTATACGACTAAAAATCACTGTATGGGTATATTTAATGACCTCTTGCCACTGTGTTCAGATTTATATATACAAATTTCTGCACTTTCAACCTTATGCTGCATCTTCAGATAGTTATCAGTTCTCATATCTGAAATTACAATGGAATTATCCGTTTGAAATGTTTGCGTTTTTGTGTTAGTTGGATATATTTTTGTGTAGCGATTATGTCCGAGTGTTTATTCATTTCAACAGTATGAACTTTCGTCAGTAAAGAGTTTGTCATCCTGGTTGAGTTGCAAATAGAATTTCTCATTGGTTGGTGTTGAGCTGTTGGCCGCTTTCGCTAGCGGTACTGGAGGAGCTTTAGCTTTTCGTATTTCTGTTTTGTTTTTTGCATTCAGATAATAAATCAGTCAGTTGTGTGTATTGTTTTCATTGAGTTTTAGTGTTATTGAGGCAAAATGTTTGGTTAGAGCCAGCATCGCGTTTGTTTTTAAAGTGAAGAAGAGTCGGGAGTGCATTTTGTTTGATAATATGTGTGTGTGCGCCAAAAATGAGTGATGAAAGAGAGAGAGAGAGAGAAAACGTATTTTGAAATGAGTTTTTTTTTACTGATAAACAAAATGTCGACTACAATCATTCTATCATTCAATGTACGAGAAAAGAAATAAAAAGAAAATACGATGAATTCAAAATAAACTAAAATTCATACACAAAAAAAGAGGGTAATTTAATTTTAGCTTCGGATTTTTTTCTTCCCTTGAAGGACACAAACTGACATTGTACGAAACAAATTGATTGATAAAAACGAATCAACAGGCGAAATAATTGAAATTGATCAAATCAAAAGAATGATTAAATGAATGAATGATTTCCACAAGAATGCCGCAGATAAGACTGTGTTGGCATGTCAGTGGTCTAAAATGTTTAGATTGCTTGGTTTTTATCATTTTCGGGAGGTCGTTCACAGCACTCATTTCCTTCCTGATAAAAATTTACATCAAATCCGCATTTTAATGCCGTAGAAAAAGACGACAACAACGCAATTACTACGACATTCCCCGAAAAAAAGAGCACACACATAAGCAACAAATCAAGCAGAACAAAGAAAAGCCGCGTCTACGTAAAAGAAAAAAAAACACAACGAAAAAATGGACAACATAAAATATTTATATAAAAAAAATACTATTTAATGTATTTATAAAGGATACAGAGAAGTTTTAATTTAAAATTAAATTAAAGTGTATAATTGCTAGAACAAGTTTTTTTTTTTCATTTAAATCTACGCACAAAATATATAATTTTTGTTTTTATCTAAAGAACATTTAATAAGCAACATTTATTTCGATGAAACATGATTGCAGCTGCTGCTACCGATGTGTGCTTGTGTCAGATTGATTGTCGGATACATCAAGTCACAATGCCATCGTGAGAGCGGCAAATACCATTTGGCTGCGACATTTCGCTGAGACACGCTCATCATTTTTGAAACATCGAGAACTGTTCTTTCTCTTGCGAACGCTGAAACACGTGCTTTCCCTTTATTTTCGCTTTGTTTTTTTTTTCTTTGCTTTTTCTTATATTGTTGGCGCTCCCTGTCTCTCGTTATCATTTCAGTAATTTTTTGTTTATTCTATGCTTTTCTAATTGCCAATCAGCTATTCTCTATGATCCTAGGAAAATTCATATTGACATTTAACATTTTGTTTCTACACCTTTATTATTGAGAGGGCGGGCAGGGTGAGTACTACGTGCATATTACAATAACACTGGGTCTTTTTTGGTGCATAGTGACAAACAAAAATGTTTCACATTTAAATAAAAAAGCGAATGAGTTCATATAAATGTTACATGAATGATCAACAGATTGCTGCATTACCGACATTTTCATTACCACGCTTTTTGTGGGGAAAAATATTTGAAAAAATCAAAAACTTTTTTTTCTTTCTTTTTCATTTTAATTTCCTTTTTTTCCATAATTATTCATGTATGATGTCCGAATTTTTGAATTTTGTTACTAATTTTTGTTCTTCTTCGACATTTTTAATTCAATTTGGCTCATAATTTTGATTTAACATGATGGTTTTGATAGAGATTTTAATATGAATTCAAAATGAATAGTTGTTGTTAAGCATTAACATTTGGTACAAATCACAAATTTTACAATCGATAGATCGATAATCGAAAATGAATGGAATCTACTGAATGAAAAAAAAAGAAGATATTAAGAGCAAGCAATATTCATTCACAAAATCGAGATAAAAAATGATTAAATTACGAAAAAAAGAGAACGCATTATAACAACAAGACAGTAAGTAAGTACATAGTACACTCAAGCAAAATCTCTCAAATTAATGCATGCATTTCGATGTTGTATGAAATGTTATGGAAATAAATCCGCACACACAAAACGAAAAAAAAAAAAATATACAAATCACATCGATTTTTTGCTGGGAACATTTGTGAAAGAATAGCGGTAATTGAGGTCGGGTAGAGGGTGAGATTAGAGCTACAATTCAAAACGTACCAGTTGTGGCTTTCATATTTCGACTAGGATAAGATTTTTCGTATTTTGTAAATGGCTGTGGAGGTGGAAATTCGGTGACATTGTGAAATGAATGGCCAAATTTTGCCTCTAAGTCCATTACAAATCGGGTGACGGTACGCGTTGAATTCGGCGTCACCGATGTCACAATCGATGCTTGATGCTGAACAACTGTTGCTTGTGCACCATTACTATTACGCATCGATGAATGACGCTGTGGCACTGGCGGTGCGCCATTGTTGTTGCTGCTGCTGTTTGGTGTCTGAAAATCGCAAATAAAATGAATATTCATGAGTTTGGGTTGAAATTTTTTTTTCATCGGTAAGATAATGTTGGTCGATGAATCATACAATTGACGTCTGCCGAATGGGTGGCGGGGGAGCCGGGCAATTTCGATGCGGTGGCGGCGGTGGTGGTGCGATACTGTTTGAACTGGTATTCGGACTACGATCCTTTGCAACCGATAGATTATTCGCACTTCCAGTGTTAGCAGTTTGCGTCTGAATAATGAAAATAAAAATATTTGAATGTCCGAGAATGAAAACGCAACTTCTATTCACAACACATATAAGTGAAACAAAAATAAAAAATTTATTGAAATGAAACAACAAAATCGAATTTTTTCAAAGTGTAACAACAAAAAAGATTTTTTTAAAGTGTAACATCGGTATGT